AGCTGTCAGTATTTCAGAATAATAGCAGCATGATTATTTCAGCATTCCTGACATAGCGTAGTCGTAGTGTATATAAAAAAATCTTTTATACCCAATACATATTCTGTCTATCAAAGAAAACTAATTCTTTCTTTATGCTTACTTTATTGTGTATTTACAGTAGATGGAAAAACTTTTACATTCCAATACTCAGAATTTCAAGAACCATATTCCAATGTTGACAGAGGGAAGTAAAGCAGATAGAATCCATAAAATAAAACCAACATCCTAAATAGCAGTATCCATTACAGATACCTCCCCTGTATACTTTTTTAGAAGTAAACATGCCTTTTCCACATGCCTTTTCCCTGCATAGCACCTTGAAATAGGCACGGTTATTCTGTAATTGTCCAGAGCTGCTGTACTAGTGAGGTGGGTGGCATATAAATTTAATAAATAAAAGTTTTTCCATTTCTTCTTTGCAAACCTACTCAGAAGTGATTTTCACAAGTTTTATGTGGCTTTTTTCCAGATAAGCATGTATAAGCCTGCTTCTCCCCCCCCCCCCTTAAGTGCATCTTAAGGATCAGAGATGTGATGCTTGCCATCCTGTAGCCCCACATAGCTTCCTGTATAGTTACACTCTGCACCAGCTGAATCTTCCTGGTGGTCTTTAAGGGTAGCCCCATATAGAATGTGACACAGCAGAGTTCTCAACCCCCTTTAAATACCTTTTGTTGTCATGGACCATGGCTATGGACCCTCAAGATTTATATCATGATTTAAATCAGTGGTTCCCAAACTTTTTAAGTCCACCGCCCCCTTGGTGCTACAAACTCATCCTCGGTGCCCCCCACCCAGGAGTGGGATTAAAATTTCTGTGGGCGTGGCCTAATTTGAGAGTGTGTCTTGCTGGTCACGTGACTGGGTGGGCGTGGCTTGCTGGTCATGTGACTAAGTGGCCGTGGCTTGCTGGTCATGTGACTGGGTGGGCGTGGCCAGGTGACTGGCAAACCAAATACAAGTGGTCCTCACTTAATGGCCGGTTGTTTAGCAAGTGTTCTAATTTATGACTGGCCTCCCCAGAGCTACTTGACCTGTTTTTGGAGTTTTGACAGCTTTAGATCAGGGGTCTAAATCGCACCCCTGCCTTTGTGTGTGTGTGAGAGGGAGAGAGAGAGGTTGGATCAGATCTCTCTCTCTCTCCCACCAACGCCAGAAAGCCACTATCAGTCAAAATTCATATTAGTGGTCTCCGGGATTTAAAATTATAAGTTTGGTGGTCCCTGAGGTCCAAAGGTTTGGCGACCCCTGATCTAAAGGGGTGAGCCTCAGAGAGGAAAAGAGAGAAAAGAAAGAAAAAGGGACAAAGAAGAGGGGATGGATGGAAGGGACAGAAAGAAATAAAGAAGGGAGGGAGGAGAAAGATAATGAGATATCTATTCTAGTCCAATCACCTGCTCCAGCAGGGTTAGAAGGGAGTGTGTGTGTGTGTGTTCTCCTTGTAATTTACCAATACATTTTGGTTCTGCCTTCTTCAGAATTGGCACTGTAATGCATTGGGGAAAAGTAATTTTTAGGGTGGAGATCTGGTCCAATGGATCCTGTTTAGAGTCTCAACAAAATGTGAGCTTCCTGATAGTCTTGACCATGTTTCGTCCACAAAACCTTTAAAAGAAGCCAAAGAGGTTTCAATGTGCTGGCAAAGATGTTTCAGTGTGGAAAAGGGCCTCAGTCTAAACTAGGCCTCATTCAATCTGATGCATCAGGTCTCTATCTCTTTCTCTTTCCCTCCCTCCCTCCCAGACTGGCTTTGCTCTACTTTCCCGATGTGCCTGCGGGGCCGGCACTTCGAACATGGATGGATGGATGGATGGATGGACAGACAGACAGAATGCGACAGCGGCAGCACTTTGGGAAAGTGGTGGTGGCGGCTTTTCCCAATGTGCTGCCGCATTCGAGACACCAGTTCTGATGCAGTACAAGTCAATGGGGTGAGCCTGCAGGGCCGGCACCTCGAATGCCCCCCTTCCGCCTCTTAGCGTCCCCAAGGGGGCCGGAAGAGAGGCGCTAAGAGGCAGCAGGGGGGCGTTCACCCATTGATTAGCACCGCTCCGGAGCCGGCGCCTCCAATGCGGAAGCGGTGGCACATTGTGCCGCCGCAGCCGTGTTCGACGTGCCACCCCCTGCTGCCTCTTAGCACCCCCCTGCTGGCCCCCTTGGGGATGCTAAGAGGCAGCAGGGGGGCGTTCGAGGCACTGGCCCTGCAGGTTCACCCATTGATTATAGCACCGCACTGGAGCCGGCGCCTCAATAGGTGAACCTGCAGGGCCAACCAGCACCTCGAATGCCCCCCTACCGCCTCTTAGCACCCCTTTGCCAGCCCCCTTGGGGACGCTAAGAGGTGGCAGGGGGTGGTGCATCAAATGCGGCTGCGGTGGCACATAACGTGCCACCATTTCCGCATTGGAGGCACCGGCTCCAAAGCGTTACTACAGTCAATGAGTGAACCTGCAGAGCCAGCACCTCGAACGCCCCCCTGCTGCCTCTTAGCATCCCCAAGGGGACCAGCAGAGGAGCGCTAAGAGGCGGCAGGAGGGCGGCATGTCGAATGCGGCCATGGCGGCATGTAACATGCCACCGCTTCCGCATTGGAGGTGCCGGCTCTGGAGCGGTGCTACAGTCAAATGAGTGAACCTGCAGGGTTGGCGCCTCGAATGCCCCCTGCCGCCTCTTAGCACCCACCTGATGGCCCCCTTGCCTCTTAGCATCCCCCTAAGGCATCCCACTGCCCCCCAGAGGACACTTTGGGAATCACTAATTTAAATCATAACATTTTTTCAATACTTTGTGGCCATTATGACATTGTGCCCCATCCAGGGGTCTGCAGATTGAGAACCACTGTGTTACCGTAATCTACTCTGATTTGTTACATAGGAAGAAGATAAATCCAGTTGATAAAGTGGGTGTCAAGTGAACATGAAGAGAAGTAGTTAGTTCAGGCAGGGGAAAAAACAGTTTCAAAATAATTTTATTGATTACAGATTATTGGACCTAAGATTCTTTTTCAAATAATTTTATTAAGAATTATACATGAAGAGAATAAAAGTCAATACAAACTACAAAAATACAAACAGAAAAATATAAAAGGAAAGGTGGGTGTAATTAAAAAAAGGAGAAAGGGAAAGAAAAAGAAAAAAGAAATAACTTTCCCCTTCAGCAGGTAAAAATAATTTTAATAACTTAACACTACTTCTAAATAAAACAGAATCTCTCTTCTCCCCATGTCTCATCTCTTAGATAAGGAAAATAAGATCCAAATAGTACATAACTCCATCTTTGTCAGCAAATGTCCAATCAGGGCAACCAAATATAATTTATTTTCTTCTTTTAACCATGGTTGAAAAAGTCTACCATGTACATCTTTTCTAATTTTTAGAATTATTCTTTAAACCTTTTTTTAAAAAGTCTCAGAGGTAGTGTGCTGCTCATCTGTGTTTCAAAGCAAAAATCCTTCAAAATTTTAACAGATTTATATCAATAAATAAAATTATCCTTTGTCACTTAAAAAAATTCCTTCCAAATCTTAGCAAACCTCTTTTGTTTATTCAGATTAAAAAAACATCCAGATCAGATTCCTGGTTTAATACCTGCTCATCTTTAAAGAATGAGTCATCTATCTGATCCACTTGTATTACATTTAAATCCTCTTCAAATAAATTTCACAACTTCATTTGGTTTTACAACTTCAGTAGAATAAGTTCTGACAATTTTTTAATCATGTGATTCATTCGATTAAAAAATGGCCTAATGATTTTTGTTCTTTATCCTCTGGTTCTAGTGTCCAGCCTTCAAGTTCTCCTTATCATTTAAAAAAATTAAAGCAATCCATTTTTCATTGAGAAAATCTATTCTAAATAATTCAAAATTATAATTACAAATCCTTCTACCCCTTAATCTGTTACCAACTTTCAATATCCATCTAGTAAGTTCCTTTTTCCTCCAAATATAATCAAAAATCAAATTCACACCATGGTTTTTTAAGGAGGTGGAAACTCGCAATGAATATAGTAAAACTTTGCTGAACAGTCTTTAAATGCAAAAAAAAAAAAAATCAAAAACATGATTAAGATATAAGGCTTGGGTTAACTTAATATCCATAAAGGCTGTTTTGTGAGTATGAGCTTAATATAGTCCCAATTGTAAGCCATACCAGGTATAGATGTTTAAAAGCAGCAATTTCCACAGTCTGCTCATGAGAAGCTGCTGCCCAGAGCCACATGGATAATCTCAATTACATCTTCTTTGTTCTGGAGAGGTTATTGCTCATGTGACTGGGGAATGCTGCAACTAGCATAAGTGCAAGCCAAGTGCTCAGATCACAATCACAGGAAGACTAGTTATAAGTATCACTCATTCAGTGCCACTGCAACTTTGAATGGTTGCTGAACAAGTTGTTGTTAACTAAGGACAACCTGTGTTATCCTATCGGCCTTTAAATATCAGACATTTAAATGGCATTGAATAGGTATAACTGGGTTATCTGTAGACAGCAGAAGTGTAGGATAATTCTCTTGTATGGGGGGAAGCTAAAGAGGAATAGTTCCTAGATGCCTTAGTAAGTTACTATTTGGTAAATGAGCACCTGCATTCACTACATACTGTATATGTTGTACTACACACTGAATAGTTAACTTATTCACCTTGCTGAATACAATACTGTGAATGCTGCTTTCAAGGGACAGGATTGAGAAAAGAGAGTCAGAAGGGATGAAAGCCGTAGGCAATGGCCAAGTTACAACAAATCACAGGCTACTTTGGCAGTCTTATGTCTCTGATCAGAGCATATGTCTTACCAAGAGCATACTGTAGACAGGTGTATTAAACCTATAACTGTGAAGTTGTCTTGCTATATCTAAATTCTCACCCATAAAAAAAGTTTAAAAACAAGGATTCTAAAAAACATTCATCTTAGATAAAGTGATAAATTGGAATATAAAGTAGCTTCATTAAAATTAAAATAGAAATGTTATTATTTCTGGTAACTTTTAATAGACTTTTGCTGATTAGAAATGAATGATGGGCTTTTATAATTTGATTATTGCTAAGGGATGAGATATGGAAAGGATACTTTTTTTACTGAAGTTAAGTTACTGAAGTTATTTATACTATCTGGAGGAAGGGGGGTCATCTTTTGTATATCTTTGTTTTTTCTTCCTTTTTAATTTTCTTTTTTCTATCTCTTTTTATTTCTCTTCTTTAATTTTAATATTTTTCTCAGTTTGTATTAGTCTTTGTATTTGCAAACTCTAATAAAAATTATTACAAAAAAACTAAGAGCAGTTCATCTTCCATACATATAATAATCTCCACATATTCTCATATACTTTTATTTTATATAGAAATTGATTGGGGTTTTGGTTTTTTTAACAACAACATTTTTTACACTACTTATTCTATAATGACATAAAATATCTCTTAGAAACATTAATGTAAAGCATACAAAGTGCAACGCTTTAAGGAAAATTCCACTTTAAATATAATCATGAACTAGATATGTTGCAGCATTTTTCCACTTAACGGGCTGTGACACAGTGCATAATCTTCAGATGTTTATTCTGTGACTAGCGAAGAAACACTTCCATTATGAGAAAAAAATATAAAGAGTTTGGACAGTGTGATTTTATGTTGGAATAAATAGCTGCATGATTGTGCTTAGGTTAACTGTTTATACTATACTAAATGAAAAGGAAGCTGTCAATTGTAATTTCTTGACAGTAGAAACATTGGGTGGGGTGACAATAACTTAATACTTGCAATTTATGAGTCCAAAGGGTACAGACTAAAGATGTGTTGATTGTTCTAAAGAAATGACAGCATGATCTACGGTATCTCACTGCTTATTTGGCTGCTGAAACAGGAATTTTCCTAATTCAAAGTGCCAAGTTATGCTCATTGTGCAGTTGTGCAAAACAATAAACAATTAGCCATAATAAAAAATAAAATCTGAATATATTTTTCTAACCAATGGTTTTCATTTTAAATTAAACAATGAAAGCCAAGTGTTTCTCCCACTTCTTGATTTTTGTAGAGAGGTCAGAACACTTTCTGATTAAACTATTCAACTGAGTTTTCAAGGAAAAAATGTACCAGTTAGCACACCAGGTACTGGTACATATAAGTATTAGTGGTCATTATTGCTGTGCATTTTAGACTCCATCTATCAAGGTTTTCAGAATATGTGTAGCAACAGTATGAAAAACCTTAAATTAGGTACATCTTTCCTAGGAAAAGAGACAGTTCCATTCAGATGTTGCAAACAGGTGTTACATTCATGCTCCCACATAACTGTGAAACACTCTTTGTAAATGGAATCCAAAACATCACAGTCTTATTATTTCATAGCATAACCACAAAATAGTGCAAATACCTGCAAAATGTTCCCTTTCCATTTTATTGCACTATTTCACCAAGGTCCTAGTATTCTTTATAACACAAACATTCCCCTCCCACTAATAAAGTTAAGTGTGCATTGACAGAGAAGACAGAATCTACTGCCGATGTTGCACATTTAAATTTTCAGATAAACTCATGGTACGTCTGGCAGCAGGTTGGTGCTTCATTGGCATGTGGTGGTACTCGATACCTCCTTCTTGTAGAGAGTAGGGAGTCGCAGGCAGAGAATCTGCTTGTTCCCTGTGCAAAGAGTTTGCTGGCTGTACCTACATGTAAGAAAAAAAATGTAATGCAGTTAAAATGGTTCAATAAGTCAAAAATAATGAATTCAGTTTTTATTGCAAAATATGTGATTTTTACCTATTAGACTATACTAATCATGGTCCAGATTTGATATGATTATAGACCAAAGGCTTAATTAAACTAGAATTCTTTGATTTAATCAACGGCTTCGACAGTAAACAGGGAATATGACTTTTGTTAACCAATGTCATCAAGGAATCTCTCTTAAATTCTATTTTGTATCAGACGTAGTTTTCTACTATATTTTGTAACAGCTCTAATCTTTTTACGACAATCTTGTTTGGCATCAATATTTCAGTTTAATTGCCTTTTCAAGTGCATACACATTTGGAAAATCAGTCCAACTGAGTTCTCGGGCCTTATTACCTATATCTCATATTAAACACTTCAAACTTGTTATAAAAACTAAATGGGTTTTATGCCCAGTGATTGATAGTATCTATTAATAAACTTTATTATTGATAAAGTGGGTTCATATCATCTTCTACTTTAAGTTCACCATGAAAAAAATGACTTATTTTAAGTACCAGCTTACTGGCTATAATATCAAAAACAAAGTCAAGTCATCATTCTGGGAGTTCCCACGTAGCAAAAGGAAAAAACAAAAGGAACAAGGAAGTTATTATGATGCATAAAACAAAAGGAAGTGCACTTGACAAAGACAATGTGCTAAAGTCAAATTTAGAAATAATGACCTCATGTACACGTCCCATTTTCCTGCACAATAATCACATTAAAACAGTTTGTTCCAGATAACAAACTAAGGGAGGTGGGTGGTTAAAAAAATATGAAAAATAAACAAACATATTGATGCTTGCATGATGTACATAAAACATGACCAAATTTTTCTATAGCTACACATACAGTATTGAAACTAATTTACAGTTAGCTTCCTCCTACGTTTAGAAACATTTGAACCAGTGGTGGTATTCAACTAAAGTTGCCACCGGTTCGGTGGGCGTGGCTTGGTGGCCGCGCTTTGCACGCATGCACACTTTGCGTGCACGCGCACGCCTCCTGCAAGCCTGTGGTCACTGCAGCAGCTGCCGTGCGGTGCTATTTTGTGCTGCGCAAAGCAGCTGCACTTTGAATTCTGGCCATAAAAGTGAGTATGGGAGCCTGGGCGGGCAGGTGGGCCAAACACAGAACAGTGAAGAGAACCGGTTCAGTCTCCACTGCTCATCGCCACTACCGGCTCTCCAGAACCAGGCAGCACCAGTCGAATACTACCACTAATTTGAACTATGTCTAACAGAGAATGCTTTTCTTTTTGCTCTCATGCTAAAATGTTGAACTATTAGTAGAATACTGTAAGTAAATGTACTTCAAAATGAAACTATTTTAAATCAATTGAAATCTTTAAATATAAAGGAGACAGAGTTTAAAGAGTAAGAATTCAGAAAATAAAATACATATTAACATAAAAGAAAAACTTTAATTAGAATAAGTTGCTTAAGAGGTTTTTTTTAATCCTCTCATCAATCAATAAGAATGGAAAACAACTACTATACCTCCTATAAACATAACAAAAAGCTATATGCATAGAAATATAGAATAAGGGAGTTCATGAATTACATTCTTAATAGTTTTGCTCAAAATGCCTTTGCAGATGTCCTTTGGATTATGTAACATTTTTGTAGACATAGTAGTGCTGTTTTAGAAAAATAAATAAATCCAAAGGATCCTTCTTGTATGATAGATTACAAAATTAGATAGCTTTAATAGAAAGATGGTATTAGAGAATATAAATAGTAAGCGTATGGATTATTCTTGACAAACTTAGATTTTTGCTCTCTGTTCATTTTTGTTTGATAAGAAAACCTTGCTTGAGTTCCTTTATCATTTAAGCTGTATATAGATGCGGAATTATCTGAACCATTGGTTAACATTTTGGTGAAACAATACTTAAATTTTAGAAAGTGTTAATATTATTCAAAGTTACTGCAATATATAGAGGATTTTGGCTGGCAGTCATTACGAATATCATAGTACAGGCATTGGCTAGGAATTTTTCTACATGTCTCTTATTTCATCTGAAGATAAGAAATATTTTGATTACAATAGAATAAGCACCTGTAGTAGTATGTTGAACAAAGAAAGGGTATTTCTGAATGCAAACATCACAATATAGCAATTGGAATACATTATAGATGGACATAGGTTAAAGCAGTGGTTCCCAAAGTGGGTGGTACCGCTCCCTGGGGGGCGGTGGGATGCCTCAGGGGGGCGCTAAGAGGCAAGGGGGAGTGCTGGAGTCCAGCCGCACCGAAAAAAACATGCGGCGGCTGCAGGTTTTTTGCAGGCACAGGAGATCAGCGCAGTGCAGCTGCAGGCAGGATTCACCCTTCCCATCCCAGAAGTCTTGCCTACACTGAACCGTGACAGGTCCCCACATGGGCCGGGTCAAGCCAGCTGCAAGGAAGGTCTTCCCAAGAAAGCGAGGTAAAAGCGCATGCGCCGCCTTGTAGTTGTGTCGCAGGAATTACGTAGGGCGGGCCTTTCGGCATGTTGAGCGTTCTTGGTGGAGTTGAGTGTCGGGAGGTTTTGCTTGGTGGACCAAGGCTAGAAGTTTGTGCAAAGCGATGTTGGGGATTACAGGAGGTGGGACGGGCTCTACTCGGAAGCGGCTGCTGAAGGGGAGCGCTAAGAGGTGGCAGGGGGGAGTTCGAGGCACCGGCACTGCAGGCTCATCCCATTTACTGTTGCACCAGAGCGGGGCAAGGGGCTCAATGGCGTCGAATGCGGCGGCGGCAGCACATTGGGAAAGTCACTTTGGCTTTGCTCTACTTTCCCAAAGTGCCGCCGCTGTCACATTCTGTCTGTCTGTCCATTCATCCAAAAGGTCTGCCTGCCTGCCTGCCTGCCTACTTACCTACCTACCTGCCTGCCTTTCTGTCTACCTACCTACCTACCTACCAATATAGATCTATCTACCTACGTACCTACGTACCTACATATCTATCCATCCATTCATCCAAAAGGTCTCTGTCTGTCTGTCTTCCTGCCTGCCTACCTACCTACCTATCTACCAATGTATCTACCTACCTACTTATCTACCAATATATCTATCTACTTACCTACCTGCCTACCTATCTATCCATACATCCATCCAAAAGGTCTGCCTGCCTGCCTACCTACCTACCAATATATCTATCTACCTACCTACCTATCTGTCTCTCTCTCTCTCTATCCATCCATCAGCCCTGCAGGCAGAGAGAGAGAGAGAGAGAGAAACCTGATACATCAGACTGAAATGAGGCCTAGTTTAGATTGAGGCCCTTTTCCACATTGAAACATCTTTGGCTTCTATTAAAGGTTTCATGGATGAAACATGGTCAAGACTATCAGGAAGCTCTCACACTTTGTTGAGGCTTTAAACAGGATCCATTGAACCAGATCTCCACCCTAAAAAATTACTTTTCCCCAATGTATTACAGTGCCAATTCTGAAGAAGGCAAAACCAAAATGTACTGGTAAATTACAAGAACACACACACACTCCCTTCTAACCCTGCTGGAGCAGGTGATTGGACTAGAATAGATATCTCATTATCTTTCTCCTCCCTCCTTTCTTTCTTTCTTTCTTTCTTTCTTTCTTTCTTTCTTTCTTTCTTTCTTTCTTTCTTTCTTTCTTTCTTTCTTTCTTTCTTTCTTTCTGTCCCTTCCTTCCATCCCCCCTTTCTTTGTCTGTCTCTTTATCGTTCTTCCCCTTTTCTCTTTCTTTTCTTCCTTCTCTCTTTCTCTCTCTCTTTCTTTTCTCTCTCTCTCTTTCCCTCTCTCAGGCTTACCCCATTGACTTGGTGCACCGCTTCACTCGGATTTGCTTGGACAGGTCCCTCCGGTGCAGCAGGCTCAGTGGGATGGACCTGCGGGGCCAGCACCTAGAACATGGCAGTGGCGGCGTGTTTGAAAAGTAGAGCAAAGCCAGAGGTCAGTAATTTTTGCTGCAAAGAATCACAAAAGCTTCTAGGCTGTGCACAAGAAGGGACACACATGTCAATGCAGTTCAGCAACATAAAAATAAAGAAATACAAATAAAACAAATCAACAAGAATCAGCAAAGCATCTCTGATTAGATTCTATTCACTACTAGAATCTAATCAGAGATGCTTTGCCAATTGTAGTGTAATGACCTGCTCCAGCAGGGTTAGAAGGGAGTGTGTGTGTGTGTGTGTGTGTGTGTGTGCGCATAGCTGTCAAAACTCCAAAAACAGGTCAAGTAGCTCTGGGGAGGCCAGTCATAAATTAGAACACTTGCTAAACAACCAGCCATTAAGTGAGGACCACTTGTATTTGGTTTGCCAATTATCTGGCCACGCCCACTGAGTCACATGACCACCAAACCACACCTACCAGGTCATGTTACCAGCAAGCCATGCCCAGCCAGCAAGCCACGTCAGCCAGTCACGTGACCAGCAAGCCACGCCCACCCAGTCACATGACCAGCAAGCCACGCCCTCAAATTAGGTCACGCCCACAGAAATTTGAATCCCACCCCTGGGTGGGGGGCACCGAGGATGAGTTTGTAGCACCAAGGGGGCGGTGGACTGAAAAAGTTAGGGAACCACTGGGTTAAAGATTAATATAAAAGACTAATTTAAATGAGATTGTGTTGATGCAATAAAAAAACTCCAATTGTATCATACTAAAAAAAGATATACAGTAGGTCAAGAAAGGTCCTAAATGCAGTCAGGCATAATATCAAATCAAACAACAATGAATATAAATAAAGCTTGGGGTTCAATATGGTATAAAATAGATATATAATATAACTCAAGAATTGGTATATGCAATAAGTCTGCTATAGGAATTATTTGTAAAAGATAGGATGCTTTTCCTGCATAGACAAGTAGTTCTACTTACATCACAATTGAGCCCAAAATTTATATTGCTAAGTGAAACATTTATGAAGTGATTTTTGCCCCATTTTATAACCTTTCTTTCCACAGTTGTTAAGTGCAGTTAAGTTAGTAATACGATTAAGTGAATGTTAATGGCTTGCCCATTGACTTTGCTTGTCAGAAGGTCACAAAAGGGGTTCACATGACCCTGGCACATGGCAACTGTCATACATGAGTCAAGTTGCCACATGAATTTTGATCATGTGACCATGGGAATGCTGCAATGGTCATAAGTGTGAAAAAGAATCATAAATCCCTTTTTTCGGTGCTGTTGTAACTTTGAGCAGTCACTAAATGAACTGTTGTAAGTTGAGGACTTCCTATACAGTAGCAACATGCCCCCAAAATATCTGTACTGGCAGATGTTGTCAGAAACTAATCTGATGTCAGTAATTAAGTCAGTAACTAATCAGTAACTAGAGCTTTGGTGGCACAGTGGTTAGAATGCAGTATTGCAAGCTAATTCTGCTGACTGCTGATTATATCTCACCAGGCTCAAGGTTGATTCAACCTCCCATCCTTTTGAGGTTGGCAAGATGAGAACCCAGATTGTTAGGGGCAATATGCTGACTCTGTAAACTGCTTAGAGAAGGCTGTAAAGCACGGTGAAGCAGTATATAAGCCGAAACGCTATTGCTAACGGCCAAGCTCAATTTTAGCAACTCAAAAAGAAATCCCCTTCACTGCTGTATAAAGAACAATGAAGAAACATTATTACTTTTTCTTAAAAGAGTTTTCTGTTGCCCCTGCAGCTAAAAGGACATTCAAATCAGATTTACATTAAAGTATATTTGTTCCAACCCACCTGAAGGTAGCATTGCTGTGGAAGATGTTGATGCATAGATTGCAAACATGAGGGTTGAGATGGTGATACTCCAGAGAATCCTGGGTGCAATCCTGATTGTCTCATAAGCACCACTGGTGTACCGTTGCTGGAAGTTTGTGCTTCCAAACCTTGGCAAGATTGTATTTTTTGAAAATACCTATGAAAAGAAACAGTCTTGTGATTTTTCAGTAAAAACTCTGCACGGCAAAAATCTAAATTTTATTGATTATCTGTCAGGAGCAACAGATAAAAATATGAAGCATTAAACAACTAACCCTATCCGTTTCTACCCTTTATGAAGAATCTGCGTATCTAAAATCCTTTCGGCAGGTCTCCCAGCATGACAGAAGCTAAGCAGGAATGATGGCAATGTTGTAAACTCAGAAACTGATTTAACATTATGATACTTTTGTTTTGGTGCTAATAAGATGACAACTGGTTCTTCCATTCAGAGGTAGAAGAGTTGGAAACTGGAATAGTATTTAAGTTAGAAATTGAGGATTTGGGCAATACAAAGAAAATTAAGGAAAAACATCTTCAAAAGACTAAAGAAGAGTTGTTGTGGATGTTATCAGTAGGAGAGAGCTATTTTCTCCAGAAGGTTACCGTAGATATTACTATATCCTGGATAATCCATCCTATGAAGCACATGTTTTCTACATAAACCTCTAGTTGTGACAAGGTCATATGCTGTTCAGGTATTGTTACAGACATAACTGCTATATGCAAGCTGTACAAAGGTTTCAGTTCCTAACTGGAACTGCAGGTCTGTTGGTGACTGAAATTGATAAGCCTGTTGCTAAGCAATATTTGCACTGGATGACTCTGTAGCAGTTTTACTTGAAGCTTTCCTGGGCCATGTGCCTCATCATTATGAATCTAATCTTTAATGATCTTGATTTTGTTCTGTTAGAATTTACATCTTGCCTGGATATATTATTCTGCCCAAACATAAACCTCAACTTAATTTTTTTTTTGCTAAAGCATGACTTCATCTCAGCCCTGCCTTCCCAGATCCATTCATCATGTGACAAAGACCATGAGGTGGACCATAACTGTAGAAACCAGGAGACTGTGAATTTTGGTCCTCAGGCATGAAATCCTATGGGCCAGGCACTCTTTCTCAATCCTAGGAAGAAGAGGGTAATGACAAACCACTTCTGGAAATGTTGACAAGAAAATTGCAGAGATTTGTCCAGGTACTTGCCACAAGTCAATACTGAGTAAAAGACATCAAAAAAATTACTACTTGTATAGTTCTATTATGGCAGCATATATATTTTTATATATCACAAATTAAGGCCATATCTAAGAACAATCACTGAGCCAATTTACACACACAAAAAGATACTACTACATGATTCAAATAGGACAAAAATAAGTCTACCTGGACAGTTGGTTTTTAAAAGTTTAAAATGGGAAGTGGGGTAAGGAGGATGTGAACTACACAAATAGCTATCTTATTATTTATGGGAGTTAGTCCAGTGAGCAAGCACTGTTATCAAGACAAGAAAAATATTTTTTAAGCATAAGGAAAAACCTGTCAACATTTTGCAGAAGCGTAGAAAAACAAAATCCTAACTCCAAAATTGCAGACCCATTAAAATCTTCCCTTTGGATTCTGAGGTCTGGTGTCTTTTTAGCAACAGCGGACACACATACACAGAACCATGGATAACAAGAACCACTTGTATGTTTAATGTATAGCAGGTACTGCATAAGGACTAAAACTGTTTTTCCATAACTACTGATTGCTTTGTCTATGTGGCATCACTAAATTAGATGTAGATTCATGATTTAATGGTGAATGCTGTTTCTCTCATACATTTTGAAACTTCCCCATCAACAGTTTCAGGAGACATACTTTTCGCTGTGTCCAGCTGCATCAACATCTGTCACCCTTGCATGACAGGATCCAGGCACCATTGGCTGAACAGGTTGACTAAGTAGCAGTCTAGACAACCAGAAATTAAAGAACATATTTAATGCCAGAACAAATAAATTGAACAGAGGGAGGGAGGGAGGAAGGAAGGAAAAAAGGAAAAAAGGAAAAAAGGAATGAATGAATCTTGGATTTGCATGTTAGAAAGTCAGAAGGTTAATATCTGAACATTATGCAGTCATGTGAAACAGAGCATTGTGAATAATTCTATTACAGAAAGTGCTCAACTTACAGCCATAATGGAGTTCAAAATTGTGTGATTAATTTATGACCTTTTTTGCAGTAGTCATTAGGCAAACCCATTTTTTGCAATGCATGTTTTTTTGTCAGAAACTGAAAGTAAACTCTGGATACCAGCAAAAAAAATGCCAAAAATCATGGTCACACAACTGTGGGATACTGCAGGCAGCCATAAATACAAGCCGATTACCAAGCAACCAAAATGCAACCACATGATTGCAGGCAGGATGCAACTGTCAGAACTTTGAAATTGGGTTATAAGTAATTCTAGATAGGTCTATCATAACTTTGGACAATCCCTAAGCAGCCAGTTGTTAAGTGAGGACTATCTGTACAGTGCTCTGCAACTCACACGAAGCAGCTCTCTTAGATCAATAAAGCTGTGACTTTTGCAAGGGTTGTAAAGTTGCTTAGAAAGCTGACGCTAGCACTTTCTCTAGGTATGCATGTATATATGTCTATATGCACATTTGTTTTGCTGTTGTGCATTGTGAAGCAACTTGTTTTGTGTACTGTGAAGCAACTAAAATACAATTCACATATTTTTGGCAGATATTTTTTCTGTTTCTATATCATACAGTTATTTTTTAAAAAAATACATGTCTATGTATATCTGAATTATTTATTAGAGAGCACTCTAAAATGAGTTTAAAGGAATGTAAAATAAGATATTAGATGAATTGCTAATGTCAACTTATAGATCAAAAATAAAAAATGTATTAATGAATTTCTTTGTATATGTTTCAATATATATAATTTCCTGATATAACTTTGGTATATGTCACCAGAAAAACTATATAGAATATATAACGTTTTCTTAAACTTATGTTGGAAATGTAATCAAAAAGGAAATACATTTTACATGCTTGGTAGACATGTAGAAAGCCAGAAAATTTTGGACTCAATTACATATAATAATTCAGGAGATTTTTAAAATTCACATCTTTTGCATTTTTGTCTTTGCTCTTTTCTTCTTTCTTCTTTTTTCCTTCTAAATATTAGTTCTTTTTAGTTTTTAGTTTTTAAAAAATCTTCCTGCTGAAAGAATATAACTTTCTACATATTTATGATTTTTACCTGTAGCATCACTTTTATAAAAATGAATACCTTTTCTGTGTTCTGCATAGCATTGCTTACCATGAAACGAAATAGCAGGATAGGTTATGCATGTAAGTCTATTATGTCTGTTACAGTAATAATCTAAACCTCTAATAAAATCTGTAACTATACTGCAAATAAAGATGGATATTTGTCTTAAAAAAAAAGAAAGCCACACACTTATTGCAATTATTTTACCTTAGTTGTCGATCATGGCCCATATCTGTAAGGCTGTGCTGGAGGCTGCTATCCTGTGAAATAGCAGGAGATGGTGCTATAGCCAAAGATGGTGAGAGCACTGAAGTATTGCTCAAGGGTGAGGTTAAATTGCCAGAAGAATTACAACTCTCTTGAATCTCTTCTGAGGTACTCACAGATTTCTTATCCTAGAACAGTTTAAATAATAAGGTGCGGTGACTCTGCCAAAAACTTTTGTTATTTTGAGGAGTTAAGGGACATAATTTGATTTCTCCTTCATACTGAGAAAAGCCTGGAAGCGTAGAGCTTATTCTGAGCTAAACTGCCTGTTTTTCATTTGATTGCTGAATAAAAGAGAAAGGGGGAAGAATGGAATCTTCACATAACTGCAAAACTATGGGAACCTCAGACTTTGAATTCCCATCCCAGAGTCATGTGTCTCTGAGTCAAGATCAGGTCTCATGACCGCAGCAGAAGTCATGGTACCAAGTTTTGATAAATACCCCAGGGTTGTTGTTTGTTGGGAGCTTCTGAACACAGCAATGGGGGCTGCGGAAACTGGTCGCTCGTGGGGTGTCTCTGCTGTCATTATTTAGAAGATGCTCCTGACAGCTTATAAAAGATTTGGGTATCATCTTGCTTGGTATGCATGCTTTTTATATTATGCATTAAAATCTGTTTGCTTGTGCTAATAATAAAGGTTAAGATCTCTGTATTTACTGGAGTCCTCATTGTCTCTGGATCCAAAAGAACCAACTGTCTGGGCATCTGTTCACTGCCCTGGCATTTAGCAAAATCAAGGGTAACAGAATCAACCAAAAATAAGTATTGGGTTTATTTCACAGTGCAAAGATAATACCAAAACAGGAATATTTTCATAAAATCAAGTTCTTTTTCATAGATAAACCCAAGTGGAAGAAATTTGCCACTGCTTTTTCCCATATCAACTTTTTGTACACAGTAATGGGTGGTTTCTTTTCCAAATACTAGCCAAACAGATCCTGCTTAGTTCTTTTCAGATCAGCCATGGTCAGTTGGCATTGCCATCTAAAGTGCCATTCTTTCTCAAAGAAGTCATTACACTTTGTGCATCTCTTACAAGTCTAATGTTATAATCTGGAAGTAACACAAAAATATCACTATTTTCCACACAATATGAGAGAACTTTATTTCCCTGCATAATTCCATGTTGCAGCTAAGTTCTAGAAGCAAAGACAAAGAAGAAAATCTAGACCTACTGGAAGTTTGCCGATACAAACAAGGACAATAGGAAAACCCCATTTCTGTATAGTTTAAATGTCCCTTTATAATGGAAAATTTTATCAAAGATTTGTACAGGTGTCAGCTTTCCTGCATTGGCTGCCAATTTGCTACCTGACCCACCAGACCACCAGACAGCCCCTTCTCCTAAGAAGCGGAACCAAGAAGGGCCTTTTCCATGGTGGATATTCCTGTGAAATATCATCACTAAAAGATAAGATTGTCCACCATTACGACACTTTTTGCAAAGCCCTGAAGACATGGTCCTTCCAACAGCCCTGAGACCTCCAAAGTGATATCGAGCCTATCAAGTGGTGATTGATAGTTTGATTATTAACATCAAGTGGCATTTGATTGTTGTCATGAGGGCGTATTGGTTTTTGTGTTGGGGTTTTAGCCTTCTAAGCCTCCTAGACTCACTGAGAGTACGCATCAAAAGTATGATTTGGGGGTGGGGAGGAGCTTACATATAAATTTCCTTAAATAAATAAACAGCACACCTAATCTAGTATTTAGCAGCAGTTTTCTTATTATTATCAAATTAAGTACTAGAATTGCATGGCAAATTGCATTATCACACATCTGAGGCTAGAACAAAGGGTTTTTTCTCGAGAAAATATGAAATCTCTTATTCTAAATCAAGTTCAAGTTTAAATTCAAATGTATTGTATTTTATTATGAATTATTTTCTATTTATTCTAAAACAGATAAGATGAATAATTAATAATTTAGAAACTGCAAATCTCTAACAAAGTGAAGCTATAGAAAACAGGAAAGAATGAAGTTACTGTAGATTGACCTGGGATAAAGATCCTTTGTGAACAACTATGCATGCAAAACTCTTAAGATCAAATATTAGAATATTGTAGGAACCAATGTAACAGTATATTCAAGAAAGAATTAAATATATAGCCTTTATTAGAAATTTATTAGTAAATGTTTCTTCCCTGAAATTATAAATAATATATATATATAAATAACAGTGTGTATATATACATGTGAATATATGTGTGTATGTCTGTGTGTTTGTGTATGTGTCATCCATCAAATAATCTCATGATAAATATTGTATTCTGCATATTTTTCACTTCAGTAACTGCAACTTTCTGGATAAAATAATTTGTTTAAATAATACATTACTTTTGGGTATTCTGCTTACCTGTATACCAGAATCTTGTACCATGCAAAGCTGTTTTTGGATTTTCTGTAGCTCTTCCTGCTGCCACTGAATGTTGGCTTGCAATATACGAGTCCGCTGCTCAAGTTGGTTCTTGATGGTTTGGAACATAGTAAACTGGGCAGAAATAAAGATTTCTGAGTCTCTTTTTACTAGGTTTAGTCAATATCATGAAAGCTGTGGATCTCAAACATGCATCCCCTTCTGGTCATTTTTCAGGGACT